GCCGACAGCCACGAACTGATGGCTCATCCGTTGTCTGTTGTGGAACAGCCGTTGGCGATGATGGCCGCGACCACAGCGCCGATGACAATGACGGCCACCACTACTACCGCACCAATGACTCCGACCGTGGGATCGGCGGCGCTGGCCGGCGGTGGTTGTGATACTGGAGTTCCTATGGCTGTGTCGGGTCAGGCGATTGTCGGCACTGAACACTCCTCGAGTGATAATACGCCGAAGACATTGGCCATTGATATCGACGCGATGTCCGACGCGAATCCAGACATGAGTATTGAATCAATCGTTACCACCGATGAAAAGGAGATTTGCAGAAGTGATTTGATTGCCATTCAATACGAAGAAGAGATACGTGAGTTGCGCGAAGACCTGGATCTGCTCTGTTTGCTCACTGTCCACGAGATTAGGGTCACACACGAGGATCAGATCAATGCGAAAAGTCATCTGATATTGACGTCCGACGAAGAGTCGGCCGAAGAGGAGGCGATGGCAGCGGAAGACATGGATGTGGACGGCGACGGTATGCGTCTAATGACTTGTTTGTAGTCTTTGTGTTAACAGTAATTATTGTCTTAATTTGCAGAGAAATCGTCGGCCAAATCGCGGAACAAGTGTCGGATCTGCGGCCGAAAGTTTGACTCCGAGCCGTTACTCGACGCTCACTGCAAACTCCACAAAACATTTGATGGCCAACAGGTCCGCTGCGCCGAAGACATGTGCGGCCATCAGTTTGACACTAATCACGAGCTTAGAGATCACTTAAAACGGGTTCATTTGGGTCGCGGGGGCGGAGGGGGCGGACCCGCGACGACCGGTAGGCCTAATAGCAATACTCCGAAGGCATTTGAGTGCAAAGAGTGTCCCACTAAGCGGTTCCCGTCGATGCAAAGTTTGCGTCTGCACCAGAAGTCCGTACATAACATGATTTCGTGGTTTAAATGCAAATTCAGTGGTTGTGACGAAAAGTTTGAGAAACCTCTGGAGCTTAAGGCACACGAGGCTAAGCACCGGAAGGATCACACCGTTATCGGTACGCAAAGTGTCCACCATTTTGTTGAAACATTGATTTTTTTTGTTTAATTGAATTTATGGTAAAATTACTTTTGTTTCATCAGATTTCCGGCAGCCGAAGAAACCTGCGCTCAATTCTGTCGACAAGAAACCCAAATCGCCGGACAGTCCGGCGCCGGCGGCCGCACCGGAGACACCGAAAGTGATATACCGGTGCAAACACGACGGCTGTACCGCTGTTTACAAAACGAAGCGAAATCTGGCCAAACACGAGGAGAAGCCACATCTTAAGGGCCCCGACGGCGGCGGCGGTGACACCAAAACAAGTCCGACGATCACCGGCACAAAGGATCCCAAGAGTCAGATGGAGTTATTGGAGATGTTTTTCGCCTTCAACAAGAAGAAGACTGAGACGTGATTTAGTGATAGGAAACCATTAAAAGTCATTTAAATTTAGTTACATTTACGCTTTTATTCGGCATTTATTAATAATTACTTATTTTCCTAACGATATTTGTTTTGTAAAAATGCTGTAAACCTATGTTTTAAACAACTCTTTAGTCAATTATCTCATTTAATTATTTCGTTAATTTATTTGTATTTTTTGTGTCCATTTAGTTAACTAAACACTATATCTCTCTTTACATTATCATTGAATAGTCACAAATTGTACTGAATTTTATAATCAATCATTGATTTCATTAATTGTTTTCAAATATTATTACACTTTAAACAAGTGATCATTTAATTATGAAATTGTTTTTTAAATAATAATCTACTCCTTATAATCAATGCAATACTGTATATGAAATTAAAAGTATTTTTTATGATAAAATAAATATTACAACAATTCTGTGTGAATTAATTGATTGATTAATGCATTGATTGTATGTTTAAACGGGAAAAATAAAACAAATGCAAAGTAAATGTTGAGTAAACTATAACTCACAACCAAATGAAGTGTCACTTCGTTGTGACAATCAATGCAATTGAATCTTAAGTTATATTTAGTTTTAAGCATTTTTGTAGTTTCATTATGCATTCCATTTGTACATTACTACTATGTCTATGGGGTGTGTATTTGGTTGATAGCGTAGATTATCGTAGAATATTGCAGCATAAATGGTTGACAGCACCGAAGTTGCACTGTGTCTTAAATATTTAATTATTTTAATGTAAAATATTTGTATAAAATGTTCAATATTGCCATATTTTGTAAACACGTTTGATTATCATTGAATATGATCATATTTTTAAAAATCACTTGTACAATCTGTAGCGTTAAACTAAAATGCTAAAATTATTATTAATATTATTGATGCAAATGATTGCGCTGTCGTACGGTTTCTTCAACCAAGATGTAGTGTTTGGTTCAGTGAAAAAATTGACCGCTAATCCCATATTAAATGCAAATCTAACACAATTTGTCAATTTGTCGACTTTCAACCCAATGTCAGTGTTGTCGGAGTCCAAAGATTTAATCAATGAAGTGAACAAACCATTTGTACCCCACTATTACCCCTCAGAGTTTTATGCCACCGGATATCTACTCAAGTTCGGGCAATCGAAATCGGGTGCACCTGTTTTCGGTCAAGTGGCACGATGTTTGCGCTTCACTAATAACAAGGCTGTAGACAAATTAACATGAAACCCGATAATTGGGTACTGCGTGAGTGCTGTACAGTTGATTAAATATAATCACATCTATTATTTAAATACAATTTATTGGTCTACATATAATTTATAAGTTATATTAATTTCGTTTTAAATAACAGCTGTTGTATATGGAGCAGTACTGGTAGTACTACTCACAGACTATAATAACTACTCATATACTTATCACTATTACTGTATAACTTTCCATATATAATGTATATTACTGTACTTTTCCATCGAAGCACATATCACACCATATTGTACTTAACTAATCCCTCGACTATTTAAGACTTACCC